TGGCAGAGGGTAAGAGATAGGGAACCAAGGATGGGGGGAAAAAGCAAAACATACAGAAAACAAGAAATGGAAGATCATTTGCTGACAATAACATGTTTGTTGATGTGCTTGATTGAGACAATATACAGTATACTCTGGATGGAAAATCTCATTTTGTATGCTATAATGATGTACAGTGAATGAATTCAAATAAATAAATTGAAAAAAAAATAAAAAAAGGAAAAAAAAACAAAGTAAACAAAGCAATATAGATAACTATAAAAATCATATTTTTCAGACATTCTTTGGAGAGTTTTTTTTTTTCGCTATAGGGCACATGCGCTTGCCAGACAGGAAGAGAGAGACATAGAGACAGAAAGCGAGAAATCACCCCCCAGGGGGGATGGTCACGCCGCAATCCCTTCTCCTCCATTCTCCTCTCGGGATCTTGGGCATGCACGCACACGCGCCTGGCATGAGTTTTAAGCCATTGGGTCCGGGACGCAAACCACAGTCGACTACATGGGAGTCCAGCAACATAGTCATTATGCTAACTGCTGGTTCCCCATATTTTTCAGACATTCTAAGCATTCGTTAGTTATTTCTCTCTTATCTGTGGAGAATATGTTCCAAGGCCCCCAGTGGGTGCCACAAACTGCAGATAGTGCCAAACACTACATATTCTATGTTCTTTGCTGTATATACATACCTATGAAAAAGTTTAATTTATAAATTAGGCACAGTAAAAGTACTTAAAATAACTGTAATAAAACAGATCAAAATATATTATCGTGAAAGCCATGCTGAATGTGGTCTGTCTTAAAATAGCTTACTGTGCTGCACTCATCTATTTTGGGATCGTGGTTGACCCCACGTAAGAGTAATGGTGGAAAGTAGAACTGAGGACAAGGGACGACTTCTATACATGCAAAATCTTTAAGACTCACAAAATCTTGATGCACAGGTTGTGTACTAAATAACAGTTACGTTAAAACAGTAATAAAATATTCTATACATCTTAAAATTTTTTAAAAAAGTGTCGGTACTATACCAAGAAAAAGTTGAAAATGGTTTGCAAACTCAAAAAGAAACTGGTAAATTTCCACTGCTGTGTAAAAGCTTCTTCCTGATATTTCTCTCTTTGAATGCTGACAATAATTTTTTTCTTTTGGAGAGGTTTTTGCTATAGGGCACGTGTGCTTACCAGAAAGACAGAGAGAGACAGAGAGACAGAAAGTGAGAAATCACCCCCCCAGAGGGGATAGCCATGCCGCAATCCCTTCTCCTCCATTCTCCTCTTGGGATCTTGGGCACGTATGCACACGCGCTCGGCGTGAGTTTAAGCCACTGGGTCCTGGACTTGAACCATGTTCGGCTACATGGGAGTTCAGCGACATAGCCATTATGCTAACTGCTGGTCCCAAATGCTGACAATCAAACGAAAAAAATAAAGGACGATAGCCATGCCGCAATCCCTTCTCCTCCATTCTCCTCTTGGGATCTTGGGCACGTATGCACACGCGCTCGGCGTGAGTTTAAGCCACTGGGTCCTGGACTTGAACCATGTTCGGCTACATGGGAGTTCAGCGACATAGCCATTATGCTAACTGCTGGTCCCAAATGCTGACAATCAAACGAAAAAAATAAAGGACCCTATAGTGGCCATAAAATCAATTATCTTCTGCATGCTTTCACAAACACTAATTAAGATTTTTGCTACACAGTATCCTAACTCAGACAAAAAACAGTATTTAGGATATTGGCAGGAGTCATAAACTACAAAACAGGTGACATTAATTCCAAGTAAATGAAAAGCCTCTCACTATCACATTTTTTCCTCCCTTTTTCACAATTTGCTGAGTTTCTGATAGTGCTTAACAGGATAACCACCCAACATCAGCGATACAAGTCTTTACATGTAAAAATGCTACTTTAATCAGCAAAGAAAGAGAATCCCAAGTTGTGTACCTATTTTTCATTCCAGTACACTCAAAAAACCAGAAATAACTTTGGCCTAAAGAAAGACTAAAATCAAAAGACTCATGAATGACCATAAGCCACAGTGCCTAAGATAAAACATGGAATCTGTCTAGGATTCATGATACAACATTCCCCCTACCTCTGCTCCTCTCCCCCAAAAATCTAAGAACGCACTAAAGATGAAACTAAAATAAGCAAATAATCAAAACACAAAATATGCCCTCTCTTACTCATATAATAACCAAATAGAATAATTAAAGACACTTCAGCAATTTTCTTAAAACATTTTCCAAAGAAATAAAGATGTAGACATACATAACCATAAGATTCTCAGCACCTTCTCTTTAAAAAGATAATGCAAAACTAGAAGCAATTTCAGTAATTAAATATTGGGAAATGAATAAATTACAGTACATTATAATGGTATATGGTATATTATAATGAAATAAGCCATAACCACACAGTCAATATGAATGATGTTATAAGAAGTCATTACATAGATTCAAACATATTCAGATCATATATTTAAGTTTTAAAAACTACAAAACATTATATATTTTACATTTTTAAAAATTAGCAATAAAAAAAGCATAGCTATCTGTCTACAGGTTAAAAAGCTTTATCTAAGGATATATGAAATACCATCAATGGTTAGATAATTGGGTGATGGGAACAATCAATTTTTTATTTTTCAAGAATAAACATGTATTACTTGTGTAATGAAGCAAAACAAGTCAGCTTAAATTGACTAGTAATGAAAATATACGGTATAAAAAAAAGAACTCAGCTATACCATTCCTTATTTCTTGAATTCTTTCTTCTGTTCAAGTCTAAAAAGAAGTTATCTACAACCACAAAATTAAAGACTTCTGAAGCTTGTATTTATTCTGAGAGTACAAAAGTCAGTATTTCATGTGCTTCCTATTTTTCAGTATTTGTGTGTGAAAATATACCTTCAACATTTGCACACTACATTACACTAACAATACTAACTACACATCACTATGCTAACACACGTTTATCTGTCCCTCATCTCACAGAAAGAACTGCTGTGTTGTTTTTTTTTCTTTCCTATATCTTACAGTATATCAGGAAAAAAAGTTCTCCGTGAGTCTATTTATTACCTGAGTACTCAGAAATGACTATCTCTACTTCATGCAGGCAATAAAAAGACAAGAAAACCTACAAATAGGTCTAAAAAGGTATAAGACTATTTTTTTACATTATTATTAAAAAAATAAAAATAAAAAGTGGGCCAGCCAGTGGTATGATGGTTCAGGTGGCTGGATCCCATATGGCCGAGTGTGTGGTTGGAGCCCTGGACTGGGCAGCCTGAAAAACAAGCTGGCATGTGTGCGTGCATGTCCAAAATCCCGAGAAGAGAATGGAATTTTAAGAAGGGACTGTTGCATGGCCATCCTCCCTGGGGGGGTGGGGGGGTAGTGCTTTCTCACTTTTCCCCTCTCTCTTTCTGTCTCTGGTGAGTGAATGTACTCTATAGCAAAACTAAAAAAAAAAAAAAAAAAAGGCAAAGCAAAAACCCAAACTTCCACTGACCAGTTTTTCTAACTTAACCAAGCAGAGTATTTTAAAAAACTATATAGACACATTTACCTGTTCCAAACTTTTACATATAGAGCACAAAGTGTTGATATCGCCAAAAACATATGGGAAAGATACTGTTTCTGACAATTAGGCAAGACCCATGAGATGCTCCTAAACATACTCACAGAGAGATAGCTGTTAACGTCCGCATCATCAGTAATGGTTTGGCGCTCTCCATTATGGTTAATTTTCCGAAACCTTCGTCGAGACTGTCTGGCAGGAATTTCTCTTTGTAGAATACTATCTTCATTATCTTTGGAATTCTCTACCTGAAACACATGTTCACATTCCTGATTGAATATCCAATTTTTCCATATCACTGACAGTCTACGGAGTCTTAACAGGCTCATAAGGAGGTTTCTTTTACTTCTTAGAAGAAACTGCCTTAACAAAACAGTCTGAATAGGACGATGCTTATGAGTTCAAAATAAAAAAAGGTGATGTTATTATAAAGATCTGAAGACCACAGTTTCCTCCCAGGAAACAGTCTCTCTTGAAACAGTCTCTCTTGTGCATATAAACATGTATGCTTTAAGTAAAGTCACTTACCAGAAATGAAGGTTGTTACTACACCTACACGTTCAACAATTACAAATTCTAAGTTAGTCTAAATCCAAACTGCTTGATTATACACATATCTGTACTTAGTAAACAATTATGGTTATGACTTTAGAGAATTACTGAAAAATAAAAACACTTTGTGCATTATTTTTTGTTTTTTTTGTCTTAATGCATGACAGTAGCCATAAATAAAGCTAGCATCTTTTAGGAAAGAAGAAAAAGGAACACTAACTCTACTGGGACTTTAAAATGGACCAGCATATATGTTATACTATTAGTTCATACAACAGGTATTATTATATCTAGTTTTTTATTTTAATTGCCAGAGCCATGTGTTCACCAGAGAAAAACGGAGACAAAGAGAAGGAGAGAGAGGGAGGAGAAAGTACCGCCAGCAGAGTATGGTCATGCAGCAATCTCAGCTCTTCCTTTTTTCCATCCTGCCAGGATTTGGGGCACATACACACACACGTGCCTTACATGTTTATCAAGTCACCAAGGCTGGGGTTTGAACCATGGTCATCCACGTGAGACCTGGGTCACTTAACCACTAAGCGATGGGGTCCCACTATTTCTAGTTTATAGAAAAAGTAAAACCCAGAGGGATTGATGACTTTCTAATCTCATGATGGTGATATTATCTGTCTTCACAGATTATGATGTTAATACCAGGTTGGTGCAAAAGAAATTGCAGTTTTGCACTGTTGAAATTTGTCATTTGATAATGGATACATTCTAAAATAAATGTGGTGTGTTTATGTTTTATATTATTTTAATACATATTTCTTGCTTTATTTTTTTGTTAATGACTTATTACCTGATATTTATTTTATATGTACTGCAGGCTATAAAAATGATGTTAGACAAAAAGCAAATTCAGTTGATTTTCTTATTTGAATTCAAAATGCATCATAAAGCAGCAGCAACTTGCAACATCAACAATGCATCAGCCCAGGGGCTGCTAATGAAGAACGTACAGAGCAGTGATGATTCAAGAAGTTCTGCAGGGGCCAGCAGATGGTGTGGTGGTTAAGGCGCTGCACTGCTACATGGGTGACTGTGGTTTGAGTCCCAGACCTGGCGACTTGCTTTCTCACTTTCCCTTTTACTGATGACTATAGCAAGTTAAAAATGATAATAATAATAATAAATAATTCTTTTAAAAAATCAGTTGTGCAAAGGAGACAGGAGCCTTGAAGATGAGGAGTATAGTGGCCAACCATCAGAAGTTGACAGCAACCAACTGAGAGCAGTCATCACAATCATCGAAACTGATCCTCTTACAACTCACGAGAAGTTGCTGAAGAACTCAGTCAACCATTCTACAGTTGTTCAGTATTTGAAGCAAACTGGAAAGGTGAAAAAGCTCGATAAATGGGTGCCTCATAGCTGACTGAAAATCTAAAAAATCATTTTGAAGTGTCATTTTATCTTGTTGTATGAAACAATAACAAACCATTACTCAATTGGATTGTGATGTGTGATGCAAAGTGCATTTTATATGATGACCAGAGATGACCAGCAAAGACCAGCTCAGTGGTTAGAACAAGAGGTAGCTCTAAAGCACTTCCTAAAGCCAAACTTGCATCAAATATAGGTCATGGTCACTGTTTGGTGGGGTCTGATCCACTACAGCTTTTTGAATTCCAGCAAAACCATTGCATCTGAGAAGTATGTTCAGCAAATCAATGAGATGCACCCAATTCTGTAACACCGGCACCTGGCACTGGTTAAACAGAAAGGGCTCAATTCTTCTCCATGACTGACATTGCTCGACTGTGCATCACATAACTAATGCTTCAAAAGTGGATCTAATTGGGCTATGAAGTTTTGCTGCATCTGCCATATTCACCTGCTCTCTCACCAACTGATTACCACCTCTTCAAGCATCTCAACAACTTTTTTGCAGGGAAAACGTTTCCGCAACCAGCAGGACGCAGAAGATGCTTTCTGGGGCTGGCAGGTGGGGTGGTGGTTAAGGATGATGGACTCCCACATGGCTGATCACAGTTTGAGTCCTGGACCTGGCGGCTTGCTTCCTCACTTTCTATCTCTCTTGCTCTTTCTATCTCTGCCCCTCTCTGGTCAAATTAAAATAAACAAAATAAAATAAAATAAAATAATTCTTTTTTTTAAGAAAAAAAAAAGATGTTTTCCAAGAGTTTGCCAAATCCTGAAGCATGGATTTTTATGCCATAGCAATAAACAAACTTACTTCTTGTTGGCAGAACTGTGGTGATTATAACGGTTCCTGTTTTGATTAATAAAGATGTGTTTGAGTTTAGTTAAAATGATTTAAAATTCATGATCCAAAACCGCAATTGCTTTGCATCAACCTAATACAAGACTGCCTTGTCTGTCTCATCAAAGATTAGGCCATAATATTAAACCTTAACTATTTGTACAAAGGTATATTAATATTTTCTAAAATATGCCTTATAACTAACCTCATAATCAATGAACAAATGATGAATTCAGTTTTTCTATTGCAATGACTTTCCTTTTAATGTGATATATTATCGAAATATTAGCAAGAGATACGACATTAAAAGGAACCCAAATATGTAATCTCATAAACATTCTCAGATCCCCTGCTTGTCTTCTGAATCTCAGGTTCACTTATTCTCAGATCATCAATTCTTTTGTTATATATCCCTCTCATAACGTCTTTTCATTCTCATCACCATCGCCCCTTACTCAAGTCTTAATCATCTCAGTCTTGAGCTACAGCAATTGGTGAGCTTGCTGCTTTAGATGTCTGCCTCCCAGTTCACTCTGCATGCTCAGATAAATCATCTAGATTAATCATCATTACATCAGGTCTCCTCTTTAGTATGCTACAATGGACCTTTGTTATTTACCAAATAAACTTAAAATTCCCACATTTGATATTCTAAGTCATGTATACTTGTTCTGCAAAATACTTTCATTACTTTATCTTATTCCTATAACCCTGAAAAAGCTGTTCTCTTATCCTCCTTCCCACTAAAAAAAATCTTACATAAAAGCACTAATGAGATTTGAAGAGTTTTCCAATCAATTTTTTTTTTTAAATTTTGCCAGGAAGTGTGCACTTGCTAGAGAGAGAGAGAGAGACAGAGAACGCGAGAGAAGAAAAGTGAGAAAGCATCCCCTCCAATGAGAAATGGCCATATGTCATGTCATCTCTTAATCCCTTCTCCTCCATTTCTCTCTGTCTTCAGGACTTGGGGCATGCATGCACATGTGTCCAAAGTGTTTTTCAAGCTGCTGGGTCCAGGACTCAAAGGACACATCCCACCATGCTGAATCCAGCCACCTTAACCACAACACCAGGATTATTTTTCTAAAAGAGCTTATGTCTATATTCTGATCTGTTTCAGATGTGAGAGTTTAAGAGTAAGTAGTAGCCAAGTCAACATGACCATTTTTGCACCCTATAAATAACTTACACCCTGCTAAATACTTTCTTTCCTCAGTTTATGTTATCCTACCCATTCTATCTTCTCACGCTACAAATTAGACAACACCAATATTTTAAGGCACATTTGAACTGCTATCTCTTCCCTAACTACAAAAGACATCTTCCTTCTCATACTGGCTTATTGTATATAAATGGGACATGCTCCCTACTGCCTTTAGGTCTTTGAATATGCTGGTGTTACCTCTGCCTAAAACCCTTTCCTTCTCTGCCAACACGTCAGTCTCCTAGCATACTTGCCAGTTCAAACAATCCCCCTTCTACTACAAGAACGTGTTACTTCTATAACACTAAGCATACCTATCATAATTACTTGGTAAGTCTACTTTACTAACAAGATAACAAGCTCCCTAAGGCATGAACTGTACAATATTACATTCATCCTTGTTTACTTAACACTCAAGAGGTTTGCCAAAAGGACATTAAATTAAATCTCTTTCTCCTTAAATATGCTAGCCACTTAGAAATACATAATAATGTTTCCAGAAAATATACAGGTAGGCGGAATAAGTTACTGAATATTACTCTTCCAATAAACTACAGAAGAGACAGTAGATTGATTTTTCAGTTCAAGAACTATATTTTGAGCTTATGTACTACCTCATTGAGATTTTCACTTTCCCCCCCTTTTTTTTTTTTTGGAGAGATTTTCACTGTAGGGCGCGTGCGCTCGCCAGACAGACAGAGAGAGACATAGAGACAGAAAGCGAGAAATCACCCCCCAGGGGGGATGGTCACGCCGCAATCCCTTCTCCTCCATTCTCCTCTCGGGATCTTGGGCACGCACGCACACGCGCCCGGTGTGAGTTTTAAGCCACCGGGTCCGGGACACGAACCACGGTCGACTACGTGGGAGTCCAGCGACATAGCCATTACGCTAACTGCTGGTTCCCCCCCTTTTTTTGAGATTTGTATTTCATTTAATTTATTATCATCATCATTATTTATTTAATTTGATCAGAGAGACAGAGATACAGAGAGACAGAGAGAGACAGAGAGAGAGAGAGAGAAAGGAAAAGTAGGAAAGCAAGCCTCCAAGGCCAGGGCCTGAACC